GATTACGATTCTACTTCCTCCATTACCACCTTTATTTCCCGTTCTACCACCACCATCGACAACGCCTTCAACTAATCCGGTGCTACCCCTTCCTCCACCTTCTGCGCTACTTCCACCACCATTATCTTCCTCTCTTCCCTCACCATCCCTTCCTCTAGTTTTATCGCCACCACCACCTCAGTCTGACGGCTCTGTTTCACAGCCACCGTTTACGTTACCACCAACTCCTCTTTTAGGTGGAGGCGCTCCGGGAACAACCAGTTCACCTCCTCCTCTTTTAGGCGGTGGTGTTCCGGGAATCATCGCATCACCTCCGCCTCCTCTTTTAGGCGGTGGAGCTCCGGGAACCACCATTACACCCCCTCCTCCTCTCTTAGGCGGTGGAGCTCCGGGAATTGCTAGTATACCTCCTCCGCCGTTGGTAAATGATGTCCCGCCCCTGCCACCAATATCATGGTTTTCGCCACCTGATATACCTACCGGATCGCCACCGCCATCTCCAGTTTTCCTCCTTCCTCCGCCATTAGACCGGTCAACAATGACGCCGCCGGCTGCACAATCTCCACCACCGGATATAACCATCGGAACTCCACCACCCGCGCCGGATATCCCTTCACTACTTCCTCCACCGGAAGACAATTCACCACCAGATATAGTTATCGGACAACCGCTGATTCCATCGCCGCCTGACCAATCTACGCCGGAGCTTCCACCACCTGATGATACCATCGAGCCACCAATTGCCCAATCACCACCTTCCCCATCAGTACTTCCCGTGATTTTGCCTCCACCAGTACAAGAGTCCCCGCCAATCCTACCTCCACCGGTTCAAGACATCCCTCCGATTTTACCTCCACCGATTGAAGACTTCCCGCCGATTCTACCTCCACCGGTTCAAGAGTACCCGCCGATTTTGCCTCCACCGGTTCAAGACCTTCCTTCGATTTTGCCTCCTCCGGTACAGGAGTATCCGCCGATTTTACCACCTCCGGTTCAAGATTTCCCGCCGGTTTTCTCAACACCACCAATCTTACAAGATCCACCAATAGTTCCAATATTCTCCACACCACCAGCACTCGGAGATTTCCCACCGCAAACTCCCGTCTTCACCACGCCTCCAGAGGTCACGAATCCATGGCTACCACCGGAGCAACCGCCAGTGACGTCATTCGCACCACCAATCCCAACGATACCGGAAATTCCAAACCCAGACATGGGTTCGGTTCAGCTCCCTCCGCCATCTTGGGATTCACCACCCTTTAACCGCTAAATTTCAATTTCTCGTTTTGTTTTTGTTAAATCATATAAATATGTAACGTAAACTTAATAAGCCGCAATTATGCCACATTGTACAAAATTATGGCCGTGATTTGCAATTTCAATAAATTTAAAAGAGAGTGTCCACGTGTCAATCATCCATTTCTCGCAAAAGATTATAATCAGATAAATGAAATATTGAGTTGGCAAAGTAGAAGACAAGTGTGGGTGATGTGGATATGGTGAAGTTGTTTTTCTGAATTCTAATTGGTCAGAAATCTATCCACGACAGCCTCCGAGATTTCATCTATAGATTCTCATCATCTTCACTCATTGTCCCTCTAAAATCTCACCTTTGGTTCTTCTTGCTCCAAAAACAGAGAGACCACAAACACACTCACTTGAGAGAGGAAAAACAGAGGAAGGAGATTAAGAGAATGGCGATGGCTGTCTCCGGAGCTGTGCTGGGTTCTTCGTTCCTCTCTGGAGCGAAGAGGAGTGCCACCTCATTGGGAGGCGGTGTTGGCGCCGGAGCTGCGAGAGTTGGCCGGAAAACTGTGGTTGTCGCTGCTGCGGCTGCTCAGCCTAAGCAATCGTGGATCCCCGCCGTTAAAGGTGGCGGCAACTTCCTCGACCCAGAATGGCTCGATGGCTCGTAAGTCTATTCTTTTAAATCTCTCTGTTACTGGCATGAACAATGGACAATGATATTTCTGAATTTCTTGAATACCCGTTTAGTTCATAGCTCTAATTTGGCAATTGAGTATCAAAAACTTAAGAGATTTCCTTACTCAATTTAGATCTCTCATGCAAGAACAATAGATTGTGATAATTTTGATAGTTCTACTTTGTAAGAAAACCACCGATTATTTTACCCAAATTCTGAGTCAAATGTGAATGATTTCCACAGGCTACCGGGAGATTACGGGTTCGACCCATTGGGTTTGGGAAAAGACCCGGCTTTTCTCAAATGGTACAGAGAAGCAGAGCTAATCCACGGCAGATGGGCGATGGCTGCGGTTCTCGGGATCTTTGTTGGTCAGGCCTGGAGCGGCGTGCCTTGGTTCGAAGCCGGAGCTGATCCTCGAGCGATCGCTCCTTTCTCGTTCGGATCGCTACTCGGTACCCAATTGCTTCTCATGGGTTGGGTGGAGAGCAAACGATGGGTCGACTTCTTCAACCCGGACTCTCAGTCTGTTGAATGGGCCACGCCGTGGTCGAGGACCGCCGAGAACTTTGCTAACTACACCGGCGATCAGGGATATCCCGGTGGACGATTCTTCGATCCGTTGGGTTTCGCCGGGAAAAACAGAGACGGTGTTTACGAGCCGGACAGAGAGAAGCTGGAGAGGCTGAAACTGGCGGAGATTAAGCACTCAAGGCTCGCAATGGTTGCAATGTTGATCTTTTACTTTGAGGCCGGGCAGGGCAAAACTCCTCTCGGTGCTCTTGGTTTGTGAGAAAACGGCACTATGTTTTTGAGTCTGTAGATATATTTCTCCTCCAGAAACCTAATGCTCCTCTTCTTTAATGTGACATTTCGGAGAAAAAATCAAATCATTGCTTTAATATGGTACCAAGTCATGAGTTTAGCTTTGCAAAAATATATGTAAAATGAAATGGCCTATTGGTAAAGAACTTTATTATCACATTCCAAATGTGGAAGAGAATAGTATTCAACATCAATGAAAAAGAGATCCACAACTTCATTTCAGTGATTGAAGAGCTCAAAGTAAAACAATTGAGCTAGAGAACAGAGTAGAGTAAAGCGACTTTCTTCCCTCAGGGTTGATCAGCATTGCCTCACTTACAACCAGGAATTGCCCGAACCAACACAAGTGCAGAGGTAAGATTCATAACGCTTAGAACTTGTAATCCGGGTTGTCACGAAGGCTGAGTTTAGACAAGACAAGGCAGTAAGAATCCCAGTCCGTTCGTCTTAGGTATTTCAACAGTTTCTTTCGTTTCTGCACCATTCCTAGAAGTCCCTTCCGCGAATGCTTGTCCTACAATTAGAAAGACACCGGTAATGACATCAGGTATACAGGAGAATGTCGAAAACAATCTGGAAAATTTACCTTTTTGTGTAGAGAAGAGGATAAATGCTTGATCTTAGTGGTGAGTTGCGCCACTGCAAGGAGAGAACAGAGACATCACAAGAAAATCTAACCAAAATCAGTCTCAAGAAATGTAATTCTTTTTTGATGACTAAAGCCAACATTGACCCGAACAGAACCATTGGCCCTGTGTAGAAATTACCTTGCACACGTGCAGAACCACAATCTGATTCCGACATCTTGAACTCTTCCCTGACTTTTGTCAGCTCAATTTTCATCTTCTCCGCAGAGGACAAGTTATCTGGGTGGAAATACTTTGTTGACGGACGCAGTCACATAAAAACAGATCAGTTTACTTAATGGTCACAAACCATTGTAGAAAATATCATAGACAAAAGATAACCGAAAGAACCAATGAAACTAACTAGACTGACAAGCTACTTGCTTCAAGGTCTAAGAACGAAAAACTTACAGTTTCAACTAGATCCTCTTTTGGAGGATGAAGCTTGTATTCAGGGGTCTCGAAGTAGTTCATAAAGTTGAGATTCTGCTCTGCAAGCAAATAAACCTCCTTAGATGACATAATTGTCATTTCAACAGCAACACATAATAGCTACAGGCAACAAAATCAAACCAAGTCCTAACCAAAAAACCAACAATGTAGTATCCCATAGAGCTGACTTAAAACGAAGCTCGCAGACAATAATACGGGAAAGAGTGAAACGAAATGTAAAATATCCTTTGAGCCAAAGATCATCTTAAGCAACAGAGAGAGTCATAAGAGGATCAAGAACGTACGTTCATTTTTGGTTGCATCAATCCTCATTTTTGAGATAACATTTCTGAGTACAGTGTTCCCAGTCCGAGCTTGGACCTCTTTCTCTTCCGCTTGCCTTAGCTTAACCAACCTCTGATTCAACTCCTGCAACGAGAACCACCCTTCTTCTTTATTCCCCTCCGGTCTAAGCGACCTTAGTTTCTCACCTAATTGTTCTTCGTTGTAAAACGTTAAGAACTCAGTCATCATCTCCTCTGTTTCGCCTTCCCTTTCTTCCTTCCCATCAATTTCTTTCCCGAAAACGGACTTGGGCAATGCTTCGTCTCCTTGGGACATCGTCTTCAATGTCCCCTTGAAACTTCGTAAAAACATTCCTGACTTGTCCATGCTGCTCTGATTCTTCAAATTCTGTAAAGTATTCCGTACGCTGTTCAAATCGAGCTCAGGTGCTTTCCGATTTCTAGGATCTGCTGAGTTTGGTGCAACGTTCTGCTTATAGAGCGCCTCCAAGGAAATCTGAGGCCGTGACTGCGATCCGCTTGAACCACTCGAAGGTGGAACGGTGGATCTCCGCTGAAACTTGGCGAGGTTCAACCCCAAATCCTGTATAGACCCGCGTGACTGGTTATCGGAGAATCTACTCGAACCGCGATTCTGAGATTGGGAATCGGATCTGGGAAATGGGTTTCTCCCTTGCTCCTGCTGTTGCTGCAATTTCTGTCTCAGAGTTGTCTTGATGTCAGTGAACGGAGAAGAGTTGGAGACGTCCGACGGTGACGGTGACGGTGACTGAGAGGGTTTCTCAGTCGATGCATTCACGATTTTGGGAGGTGGGTCTGATGAGGAATTAGAGAAGAATCGAATCAGAGATGGGTTTGACGGGAACCTTTGATGGCGTCTGGCGAGAACAAGCGCCATGGTTTTGGCTGCTCCTGAGGATTTAGGGCTTTTGGGGGTGTCTGTGTAAGCGAAGTACACGATGACGATAACAGTTTACTAGAAATGCGGTTTAATTTGAATTGAAATGTTGACTTTTTCCGGTTTATTGTAAAATTAGAACTGGTCAGGCAAAGTCTGGTAAACCGGATATGATTCTGATACACGTTTATGGATGGGGGTCCGAGAAAGGCCACTTTACAACGTTACATGTGAAAAAGCCCATTTTATGGGAAAATTTAAAAAAAAAAAATACTTTTTTTATCATATTTTGTCAATCTAAACCTTTATTTTAAAAATTTAAGAAACTAAACATTTAACTAATATTTATCCTATTCTATCTTTAATATAATAAAAATGCTAAACAAACTTTTTTTAATTTTTCCATGTATGTATACCATCAATATAAATATTGTATCGATTCAGGTTACGTCTTTTAGAACATGTAAATTT